AATGCTAGATCTCCCCTAGTTGCTTCTTTACACTCAGGTTCCAAAGTCAATCTTATTTTTGGTTGAACCCTTTCATTTTGTGTTCTTTCCATTGTTTCCTGTATATGGGTTAATGTTTAAGGCTTTAAACATTTATACTATCCGGATTACAGTTTCAAATTTTACCTTTTGAATTAAATTAGAGTATGCTAGTTATTCTTAAAACAAATCGGACTTCAAAGTAAAACAAATTAGGCATAATTTTATAAAATATTTACATTGGTATAAACTTTGCTTTGGTAACCTGAGGGACTATTTAGCATACTTTAGATGGGGAGACGTATTGCTCTTAAATTCAAAGCCAAAAGTTGGGGGAGTAGTAAATGAAATAGCTACTCTGAGATGCAATTATCCAGGAAGCTGTGGAGAGTTTTAGTAATTGGCTACATGGATATTTTTGATACCAATATAAGGTCATGTGCTTTATAATATTACTTAGTTCACTAGCATGGCTTATATTTGTTTTATTTTCTTCTATAATTTCAAGTTATAGTTATTACTACTACTTATTCTACAATGCAATATTTACTCCAGTTAGGAAATTCATGATACTAATGGAAACTCTAATAGGTATTCTTAAAAATGCAAGGCAAGCTACGGTTAGAGTGCTGTTTAGCTATGCTGGCCAAATGCAAGTTGTACGAACTTACATTTTCAAAATAATAAATACCTTGACAATGGATTTCAAAGCATTATTTTCATGTCATCACTTAACATTGGCCTTCCATGTTTTAATGATTTTTAAGTTTCATGAGGAAAATAATCCCAAGAAATAAAAATTCATTTCTGTATCTCTTTTGAATGAAATTTGAAAAATAATGAATGCATAAGGTGTTGTCATTTATGGGCTTTAAGGAACCAATATAATTGCCTTAATTCTAAAATGCAGTTTCTTGTCTCGCACATGCTCCTGGAACTTAAACATTTTGGATATCAAAGTAATTTCCTTAGTACAGTTGCTAAAAGGAAGCTTAGGTGGGTAAAATGTTAGGAGAAGATAGAACAAACAGTGTTGGGCAAAATTTTGGGGTGGAAAGAACATTGAATTAGGAGTCAGAAGACAAGAACTTAAGCCCCAGCTTTCCCACTTATTTCCTGCATTCCCTTGAGTGACTAAGGTGACCTAGGTATGTGCTCTGTACTCACCAATATTACTCTCAACTTCGTAATTCTCACAACAGCATAAGAAAATATGAATAATCTCAGAAGTATGGAAACTGAAAACTTCAAATTGGAGTTAAGGAGGGCTTAAATTAAATGAAGTACTAAAGTAATCCAGTCTAAATGGTACGCAAATAACCCGAAAATTTACCAATGTTCCTCCAGTAAGTCCCCAACTGGGAGAGCAGACCACAGTATCTTGCAAAAGTGAAAATGTTTAATGGAAGGTAATGCAAGCCCCTCTAGTTTTCAGTAACAGCATGAGTAATTATATTGTACCATCACATTTGTGTGTGTGTGTCTGTGTGTGTGTGTGTGTCTGTGTGTGAGTGTATTTTTAATGGTTTTCATTAAATTTAAAATAAAGTAAAGAAAGAAATTATGTAAATCCCAACTCAAATTCACACATAAATTCATTTTCTTGTCAAATCAACTTGAAGAAAAAAGGTTTCAATATGAATCAACTTTGGTTTTAATGTAATCAAATCACTTCAGTCTGAACAACCTAGAATGTGTTCTTAGACTCTAAATCAAGCACTGCTTAAATATGTAATGGAATTTTATATGCACTGCATGTAAAAATGCACCATAATACAATACACAAACACAATTGTACACACACAAAATCAGTGTGCTGTGCTTTCCAAATCAAGTCAAACATGTTAATGTTGAATTTGAAACTCTTCATTTTATGGAGCTAAATATGTATATTTAGCTAATCAATATTCTGAAGCAACTGATTGAGATTTATAATATATTTCTGTTTGGAATAATTATGTTGAGATATACATTTTCAGCATACAGATGTTAAAAGAAAAACTGAAGTGCATACTCTTACTAAAGTCATGAGAGCATATGATTTAAACACTACAAACAAAACAAAAAATTTTTGAAGGGCCATATTGTCCAATGATTTTTCCAAAAATTGTATGGTAAAATATCTGTTTAGAAATAATTATTAAGCACACTGGATTGACTCTTAACCAGATTTTCATCACGAATCCCAAACCAAGTCAAACTTTTGGAATCATCTGGATAGGATACTATTCTGACAAAGTGGCTCAAAAATTGGACTACAAAAATACCTTATGGGATTCAGTTTACTGAAACAAAAGTACCTGAATGGAAGGTCTGGTCTACATATTCAACATTCACAATTATTTACTGAGCACCTCTTTTGTGCCTGACCTTGTTTTAGATGCTTCAAATTTACCTCTGAATAGAATATATAAAACCTCGCCCCTCTTTCAACTTATTTTCTATTGGGAGATTACAGAGAGGAATAAATGACACTTTATGTTAGAAAATAAAAATAATAAAGCAAGGAATAGGGATAAGGAGTGCCTGGTGGGTGTTATGGGAGGGAGGGTAAGAGACATTCAGAGAGCAGGTGACATTTGAGTGAAGATTTAAAATAGGTAGGGAAGTAAGCCATATGGAGATGGAGAAGACAAGAACTTCAGAGGAAATAGCAGGTGCAAAGGTTCTGAGGCAGAAAGAGGCCTGGGCTATTTTCAGGTAACAGTGTCATCAGGTGACATGGAAGTTGAGCCAAAGAGATGAAGAGAGTAGGGTAGGTTCTATGAACCTCTTTGGCTTTTATTCTCAGTGATACAGGAAGTAATTGAAAATTTATGAGCAGAGATTACATCGTCTGACTTAAATTTTAACAGGATCACTCTACCTTGTGTGATGCAATTTTATTAGGGAACTAGACAGAACTTTCACAATTAAAGTTTTCTAACTTTTAAAAATGGCTTTTGGACAACTCATATAATTCACATGTGAAAATGTTATGTGCTTTCTAAGTGTTGAGTGCCTATTTTTTGGTGGTTTTTTTTTCCCTTTTATTGAATGTAGAAAAGACTATTGTAAATGTATGCTTGTTACTTCCACTTTAATGCCACTCACCTGTCACATAAGTGAAACTGTTCCTTTCCATAATGTATGTAAATTACAACTCTTACTAATGCTTTTCACCTCTGTAGAGGTCTGCTCTGAAGGAGGTCTTCTCTAAATTTTCTTGCACATATTCCACGCTCAGTCCTGCCTCTGCCTCTCCGCCCTTACTGCTTATCCTGCCTGGAACACGGTCCCCATCTCCTTTCTGCCTGCCTTTCAAAGCTTAGTTGCCACAAAGACTTCACCAATTGTTTCCCATGCTATTCGCCCCCTTTATGAAATCCTCACACTCAGAATATGCATTTCTGATATTTAACACCTATTTGTATATTTCATTCTGTTTTCAGTTTCGTGTGTTTACTTTTTTTATCTAACCAGGGATCTCCTGGAAAATTGGGTCCATCTCTATTTCCTCAGATGTTCAATAAGTACCTGATGGTTGGTTGTTTGACCCACTTCAACCCATTTCTATCAATATGTCAGTCACAGTGAGACTAGGCTATTTGAATCTGGTTTTCAATGAAGGGATGGCATGAGGAAGCCTGAGGGAATGGGTGATAGCAGAGCAAGCCAGGTGAGGAAGCCCTTTGTAGTTTTTGGGATGCAGGGCGTCCGTGTCGCTGTTGCCTTTGCCAGGTGCTGAATAGCTTGCTTGCAGAATGGACCCATGCTTTTCTTGCTACCCCGTCAATTGAAACAACAGTCGATTTATGTGTCTCTTCAGCCGCTATAACTGCAATATGTGTTTTGTCTTCTTGCTTATTTTTCACAATGCATACTTCTTGGTAGCATCCTTTGCAAACACAAAAAGCTCTCCTGTTAGAAGTAAATTTTGATTATGTATTTTAACATATTATAGTCCACTGTAATAAGCAATTAATTGATTGACAGAAAATAATTAAATACTTTATTTTGGAGTTGATACATGATATTAATTATGGATTACTAAGCACAAAATATACACATTAAAAAACAATTATTATTTATGTTTCTATTATTTGTGTGTAAGATCAAAGCATACTAAGGAACAGAGAATACATTTTTAATATAGTCCTGGCCAGGTATATCAACAAGAAAACAAACTTGCTATGTCACTAATGAGCAAACTCAAATTGGTTTTGTAAATGGACGTCAATTCTAAAGGCTGAGTAGTAGGGACAGTGATTATAGATGCATTTGTCAAGGCTCTTTACAACTTTTTAATGTCAGAAACAAACATTTGTTGTTATTGAAGTGTTTCACTTTCATTAAAAACAGAAGTGGTTATAAATGGAATTGAGTGTATTATTGAATTTCAGACCTTACATTCTTTGTTGTGATAGAAGTCTATTTACTTTAGCGTTCTCTTCAAATGAGAACTAACTTTGTAGTCTAATCAAAGAACTAACTTCTAAGATAGCCACCTGGACCAGAGAGAGAGTTCTAAAACTAAGCACATCTTTTGAATGCGGCTAAAATGACCAAATTTATCTCCTGCCTCTACATACAGGCATTTCCTCTACCATTGAAATAATAAGGGAAGACGAGCAAGGCAGATGGAAGAAACCACATTTAGACCCCATAATGTATACTTGAATATGCTTATGTGGGCAATTTTCTTGTTAAAGGGATATTTGCTGATAATATAATTCAGCTTCTTAGTCCATTAACATTTAATGGTTGAATTTTAGTGAGTAAATGTTAGGGGAAAATTATTTTTAGATGTCACTGTTTAATTTCTAATAAATTCAATGAGTGATTTGCATGTATTACTCAAAGGAAGGAGGAATTCTGTTATTCTATATTATCTCATAAAAGTTTATAAAGGATTATTTGATTTATTTAAAAATAATGTAATTTAAAATAATCACAGCCATCTTTTACCATTTTGCCTGACTAATCTCTGTTATATACTTCAGGCATGAACTTCTAGAGGAAGCTCGAAGGAAGGGATTACCTTTTGCCCAGTGGGATGGGCCCACAGTGGTTGCATGGCTAGAGGTAAGAGAATTCAACCAGAAGGCTCTTGATTCAATCACTACTAATTTGGTAGTTTTTGTTGTTGTTGTTTTAGAGAGACAGGTAAAGGCAGGTTTTGAAGTAGCTTTCCAATAGACTGTAATATCTCAGAAAGGAAATATTTGCTTTTTCTTGGACCTGTGAACATTGCAATGTAACTGTATTGCTTTCTTGTGCTAGTGGCTGAAGGACATACCCAGTGGATAAAAGGGAGTTTCTCTAAATCCCACCCTCTTGAGTAAGAGAATAATCAGTTTTTGTGTGGGGTTTTTTTAATGGTAAAATAGACGTTTTATTTATTTGTATGTAAACTTATAAACCAACCAGCCAAACTGGTACTATTGTCATGACAGCAAAATACAAAAAACATCTTTTACAAATACTTGAGTAATAAACAAATTAAAGATTGTAAAACAGCAGGGGCAGAGGAGGAAATCAGTGAAGCATATTATAGCTTAACCATTCACCTGAATTGAGGCTTTTAACAAGCCTCCCAATCCCAGAAAACATGAGTAATCCTTTATCACACACCTTTGTACTTTTACTTTCTATTTTTGAGGTTAAGATTCTAGATCTAGAATTATCCAAATACTAGATCTAGTATTATATCTAATTATCTATTGCCAGAGGCATCTTTTATCATTTGTCTAACAGCAGCAAGACTACAGAAGCCTCTTTACTTAGACTCCAATCAGACCCAACCCCTACCCTCCGAACTGGCACAGTAGGCATAATGAGAAGCAGCATATCAAGGCAGAGATACGTAGAAAAATCCTAGAAGAGGTAATACAGCCACTGCCCAAACTGAGATTAAGTAATACACCCATCATCACACTATGTTCATGGCTAATATGTTCATGAACTCAGGCTATACTTTAGAATTCTCAGTTAATCCTGTCTGAGAATAATCAGTTTTTGAGCCACACTTTTGTTGTTGCAGAAAACATCAGTCCCAGCCCATCAGTCCAGGGTCCTTTCTCATCAGCAGGTTACAGAGAAGAGCCATTTCTTGCATTCTCCCAAAAGATACCACTGCCTCCTAACTGCAGAGAACTGTTCCTTTGCTTATCTTATAATTCCTGAGCCTAGTTCTCTAACATCTAGGGACCAGCTAGATTTAACCACTTGGAATAAAGTGGAAGATGTATCCTCTTTTTCCCTTCTGTGTCTAAATTGAATGTTATGATGAAACAAGAACTACATTCAGCATTCCCTGCACAACGCAGGGGGCTGGGAAAATTCAGTAATACCCGAGCAGGGTGGAGGGCATCAGGAGCCGAGTAGGACAATTCCGGAAATACATACTTGACCACAAGGGGACCCTCATGCTACTTATCAGGAGTGTTCACTGACCCTTCTGGGCTTCTGGGATATGCCAATGTTGGGGCAAAGAAGAACACAGGGTTTTCCTGCCTGCCAGAGGCAATTAGAACTCATTGTTTCTAGTGTTTTGGGATTATAAAGTTACCCACATTCATTAGCATATCATACCCAGAGCAGAAGAGTTGATCAATGAGAAAAAATTAAAACCCATATGAGTTTTAAAAATGGTCTTGTATAGATAGATATGAAAACATTTTTTGGCCTGGAAGAAAGAAGCTCTGTCTTTTTTTTTTTTTTTGGCCTGGAAAAACGAAACTCTGTCTTGCTTTCTTTTACTCTCTCCTATCAGGGTTTTTTTTTTTAGCATTTTGGTAATCAGAGCTGCTTCTTCCAAACAGGTCTTTAAAATTTCTGTTTTAGAAATAATTTATAAAACAAAATGCTTAAGGAAGCACCCCTCAAATTTGATAGCCCTTCTTTGATCAGCTTCATTCCAATAAAGTAAGCTATACTTTGACAGAGAGTTAGCTGCTATTTTGGCAAGTGAAGAAAACAATCCTTTTAATAAAATAAACAGATTTACTGACTTTAAAGTAAAATAAAATAAAATAAAATAAAATAAAATAAACAGATTTACTGACTTTAAAAGGTTAGGAAAGGACAGGCAATAAAGTTTGTGCTAATTAAACATCTGCGCATACAAAAATTGCTCATAATGTGCTTCTTAAAGTGACTCCCGTTCTAAAATGGAATAAGTAAGATAAATGAGCAGGGTGAACAATGAATGAGAGCTCCTAACTCTCACCTCCATTAGCACCTCCTGTGCATACAGCTGCTGAGAATGATGCAGAGAAGTAAGCCTGGTGTTTCATACACCATTTATCCACCCCCAAAACTTTCAAAAGTCTAATCATGGATGACATTGATGACAGTGTATTGGCAAGCACTTGGATAAATCCAAACATTTCCGCAAGTTGTTTTGGGTTTGTTTGTTTCTTTGTTTTGTTTTGTTTTGTTTTGGCAGGGGTTTGGTGTTTTGTTTTGTTTTGTTTTGTTTTGTTTTGGCAGGGGTTTTGAAATCCAAATATCTTACTTAAAAGAGAGGAAGTGGAAAATAACTAGGGTCCAGCAAAGGTATATGGACATGTTTAGTTATTTTGAACAACCTGTGTTTATAAACTAAGAGGCCAAGTACCATCTTCAGTCATATCTAATCATATCTGTCTAGGTAAGGTCAATTCCTTGACCTAACCTGCTGGAAGAGTATATAAAAGATTCAGTCAAGCACTATACTAGATCCCCTCTCTCCTTTCTTTATTTCAATCACAGCCTAATCCACATTGACTCAAAGACTTGGCTTTTTGTTTCCCTTATAGAGACAAGTAGCCTTTCAATGTGGCAGACTTTTTTAAAATAAAGGATATCTGTATTAGTTACCTATTACCACGTAACAACTTATCTCCAGACTGAGCATTTATTTTTCCTCATGACTTCTGTGGGCCAGGAATCTGGACATGGCTTAGCTACAACCTCTCTTTAGTCTCTCACCGCCAGCGTGGCAGTGTTCTCAAGGCTTGACTTGGGGAGAATACACTTTCAAGCTGACTCCTGTTTTCACAGTCATGATGCAGTGTCTTGCTAGCCATTGTCCAGAAACATCTGATCTTTGACATGTGGGCATCTTCATGGGGCTTCTCACAACATGGAAGCTGGCTTCCAGCAGAACAAAAGCTCTGAGAGGGAAGAGGTGGAGAGGGCTAGCAGGAATGAAGCCTTGGTCTTTTTGTAATCTAATCTGGAAAGCACCATCCCTTCACTTTTATCATAGTCTGTTCCTTAAAAACTCAAAGGAACAAGATTATGCAAGGGCAGGAACATTAGAAAGAGGAGCTCATTGGGATCCATCTTAGAAGCTGCCCAACACAATGCCTTAGAGTAATGAGACTGAATCCCTTCACTTTACAAATGAGAAAAATAAGGCAGAGGTTTAGAGGGTCACATGACTCACTGATGACAGGGAAGGAATTAGATAGAGCCCAGGCCTTCTGATTCTTGGCATTGCATTTTGCTGATTTATTGTTTTTCGTCTTCCTCTTACTTCTCACTTCTCTCACTCTCATGCTCTCCTTTTGCTCTATCTGTTCCCATCAACAAATAAACAGCCCTCTAAACTTAGTATGTTGGCTATTGAAAAAACAAGGTTTAAACTGCTCATTTGCATGTGCTCTGCTTCTTACTCAGAGCTAAGTAAAAGTATGGCTTCTTACCCATAACTCATGATGGGGAAAAGTGGAGGGAACATTCATTTTTTAAGTATATGTAATTCAGATGCCACGACGTGCCTGTGAATTGGCATCCATCCAGTGCTTAAGATAAGTGTCAGTCACTGTGCTGTGCTCATTGCACTACTGATTCAAATGTCTCTCAAGAACATTACAGCAAACTTGAAAAATTGAAATTCCTAATTTCTAATTCATTATTCATGTTGTTACTCTCTTTAGCTAGAGGTTTCCAGATGTTTATAAATTTAGTGTCTTTTATCAGCACATTTCATTCCCCATAAGTATATTCATATAGAACATCTAATTAAGTTCACACAAGCATTACATGGTTTAGGTTGATGTGTGATAAATGTGGCTTAGCTACACTGCAGGCTTTGATCAAAATCATGGGGCTGGAGGTGGGAGCTGGCACTTTCTGTGACAGAATTTCTCTCACTCAAAATCCCAAAGGTGAATTATAAATTGAAGTCACTCATTCAACAAACATTGATTGAGCCTTTACCAAATGCAGCTTGTAGCTGTTCTTGTTCTAACTCAAGGGGTGGGGGGGATTTTGTGTTGCACAACTATTAACTTTATCCCAGATAATAAAAATTAGTTGTTACATTGCAGACTCCGGAAACTCAATTTCAAATCTTTATCTCCATCACTGTCTACCTGAATTTTTAAAATAAATTACTTAATGCCCCCGTTCATCTGTCTCTTCTGGGGAACATAATAGCATCTATCTCATTGGATGGTAGAAACAAGAGGGTTCATGCATGTAAAGTACTTAGAACAGTGCCTGGCACATATGAGACACTAACGTATTAATTATTACTGTAATCTGTTATGTATTTTTTCTATCCAACAGCTCTGGTTGGGAATGCCTGCCTGGTATGTGGCAGCCTGCCGAGCCAATGTGAAGAGCGGTGCCATCATGTCTGCTTTGTCAGACACTGAGATCCAGAGAGAAATTGGAATCAGCAACCCCCTGCATCGCTTAAAGCTCCGACTAGCAATCCAGGAGATGGTTTCCCTAACGAGTCCTTCAGCTCCTCCAACATCCCGAACTGTGAGTCAATTTGTGCTCCTTCCCTCCCGCAGGGCTGCATGAATAACAGCATCTCTGAGTTCCAGAGCAGAATGGTGGCAGCACACATTTCCATGTCAGCGTGAATTATTCTGAAGAGAGTTAGCTTGCTCTTCATTAACCTTGCTGCTCCTTCCAATAGCTTTTCAACTGCGGAGCTGTGATTGCTATCAGATTTGAAGGCTGCAACCAAGATAGACTTTTGAACTAGTCTCTAGACGAACGTGTGTTTTTTTCTTTTTCCTCCCAAGCAACTAGACCCCAAGCAAACTCATTTTCAGGATGTCCCCTTTTTTTAATGTAATTCAACATCTCAGGTGATTATTTGTTGGCGTTAGTGCTTTCTGAAGATGCAATGCTTAATGCATGGCTTCTGATGCAATTTTAATATTTATGAAAGTACAAAACTATTTGATGTTTTATAAATACCAAGTGGGATACCTCCCTTCAAACTCTGTTAGCTTCTCATTTGTAAATCCCTATTCTTCTCATAATTTTACCATATTCTAAAATTAAGAAAGAAAAAATGTCTAAAAATATGCACACCAGCTGACAAACTTAAATACTTAGAAAAACTCCCAAATGATATTCATTCTGCCTTTGTCTAGTCTTGAATTATATCTTTTGCTGATAAAGGATGTGGTTTCTGATGTTAACTGGACTTCTCTGGCCCATTTCTTATACAGAATAATATATTATGAAAAAAGGAAGTAAATTTCAGTGGTGGAAAAAAGATAGTAAAGGGATATTACGTTAATGCAGTTTTTATTTGGTCTTAAATGGTTTTAGAGAATTTGCTTCATTTTTACCGTATCTACCTTTATATTCCTTCCCAGTATACTAGATTCTAATGCCAGAAATACATAAAATTTAAAAACCTTTCTGTCTTTCTTTCATAATTCCATTTTAACTTCCTCTTAAATTACATGTGGAAAATATATAATTTTTAAAACTTATGTATAACATATTTTCATATAAATGCTATGTACTATAGCTGAAGTACTACTCCAGTTACAAAATAATTCAAAACAAAAACTGAGCAGGCCATTAAAGTTATTGTAAACCAAATTATAAGCAAATCTAAGAGTTTCCTCAACAATTTCTAACTGAGAAAGAAGCATCACAACTGGTTTATATCAACCCTCTCCTCCCAAGAGCAACTGCATACAAAATTACTAAAACTTTCTAGCCTTGCAAAATGAAGAGTTTTTGGAGTTCCAGCTTCAAGATGGAAAATGGAATATACTTTGCATCCTGATTCATTTCTTAATGGAAAATAGAATAATTAAGCACTATTTCTCTAAAAAGACCTAAGCAGACTAAAGGAATGTAAAAACTATTAAAGATGAGTGGGTGCTCGGTTGTTCAAAGAACAATCAAGTGTGAAAAGAGCGTACGAGACTTCATAATCTAGCTTCAGTTCACCCAAAAGCTTTGCTTCCTCAGGTCAGGTCCCAACGACACAGAACTTTTTTCAGTTTCCTAAGCTTTTATGTTTTTGGTTGATTATCAGCTTTTGTAATTGATCTTTCTTCTGCTGGAATGTCTTCCCATTCCAGGATTACCATCCTTCTCCAACTCACCCCTTATCTAATGATTCCTGAATGTCCTTTTTCTACAAAGCTTCCACTAGCTTCCATGTCTGACTCTGGTTCCCTTCCTGAATTTCCATCTGGGTACTTAGAAAAACCATTTTATAATTTTATCTCCTTGATTCATCCCACACTAGGCCAAGCAGTAATATTATCAGATTATCCATAGTCCTCAATCCTTAACTCAGTGCCTGGCAAATTGTGGATAATCAGTACATATCCTTCTTAAAAATGATGCTCACAAGTCACCCTACCCACCATTACAGAGGAACTGAAATGTGTATGACCCTGACTTCAGAGAGGGCAACTATGGTTACGAGTAGGTGTAGTAAGAGATGATATCCTAGTATTTTAATTTCTAAAAGTGAGATTGAAGCAAAATGTTATGGGATTCCATGAAAGGAGAAAGCACTTCTGCTTGAATAGGCTCTGAAGAGGAATTAGCATTTGAAAGACTAGGCATATATTGTTAATTAATTTTTAAATATTTTTGTCACTTTTAACTTTTGGACAAAGACCTTTCCAGTCTGTTTTCTTTACATTTTGATAAAGATTAATTATTTTGTACTTCTTGTTTAAAACTTAGTAATATAGCATAAACATTTTCCTCAATTTAATAAATATGCAATTCTAATATGAATTTTAATTGCTACACACCTCCTTCATGGAAATACCATAATTTATTTAACCAATCTCAAATAGGGGATATTCTGCTTATTTAAAAACTTTTATTGTGTTTACAATACCATAGTGGATATCTATGTAGTTATGTTTTTGCATAAGATGTAGTTATTGACAAAGCAATATTTGAGTACAAGGCATTTATATTATTACTAGAGGCCCGGTGCACAAAAATTTGTGCACTCGGGGCGGAGGGGGGTGTCCCTCAGCCCGGCCTGTGCCCTCTCGCAGTCTGGGACACCTCGGGGGATGACCACCTGCTGGCTTAGGCCCGCTCCCTGGGGGATTGGGCCAAAGATGGCAATCAGACATCCCTCTGGCAGTCTGGCAGCCCGGCAGCCCTCAGGGGATGTCCACTTGCCAGTGGGGAGCAGGCCTAAGCTGCAGTTGGACATCCTTAGTGCTGCTGAGGAGGCGGGAGAGGCTCCCACCACCACCGCTGTACTGGCAGCCATCAGCCTGACTTGTGGCTGAGCAGAGCTCCCCCTGTGGGAGCGCACTGACCACCAGGGGGCAGCTCCTGCATTGAGCATCTTCCCCCTGGTGGTCAGTGTGTGTCATAGTGACCAGTCATTACCAGTCTTTCTGCTGTTAGGGTCAGTTTGCATATTACCCTTTTACTATATAGGATAGAGGCCTGGTGCACAGGTGGGGGCCAGTTGGTTTGCCTTGAAGGGTGTCCCGGATCAGGGTGGGGGTCCCGCTTGGGTGCGTGGCCAGCCTGGGTGAGGGGCTGAGGGCCGTTTTTAGGCTGGCAGGCGACTGAAGCTCCCAGCCTCTCCTTTTTTACTTTTTTTTTTTATTCTGGGATTTATTTACCTTCTATAATGGAAACATTGTTGCTGTCACTGGCTCTCCCAGCTCTGAGGCCGCGGCCAGCTGAAAGCAGGTATCTGGGGTTTCTTTAGCTTCTACAATTGAAACCTTGTTGCTTTCGGAGATCAGAGCCGGGCCGCAGCAGGCGGGGAACCTTGGCTTCCTCCATCACTGGAGCAAGCAAACCTCATGTTCGCTGCAGCTGCATGGCTGCCGGCCACCATCTTGGTTGGCAGTTAATTTTCATACCGCCCTGATTAGCCAATGGGAAGCATAGCGGAGGTATGGTTAATTACCCTTTTTGTCTTTTATTAGATAGGATTTTTAACCCTTAGTTGCCAAATTGTATTGTATAGGCCTTTCCTTTCCCTTTTGTTAACATTGATTATCACATTACTTAAATTTATATTTTTTAAATTACTCCTGAAGTTAAATTTTTTATATGCTTATTGATTTAGTATTAATGAATTTCCTATTTATAATTGTTTCCATTTTTCTGTAGGATTGTAGAAATTTTCATCTTTTTACTAATGTCTAAAAGCTCTTTATTCACAGAAGATATATGCCCTTTGCCAAATATTGGTTCAAGTTACATGAGATAAAGTTAAGTTGTGTTTGTTTTAAAAATGATCTACTGAGTGCTCTTTTTTCTTCTATCCCATCTACATGGAAGTAGTTACTCATTTATAGTATATATCAAATATGATTTGCTTTTCAAGAAGAAAAAAAGAAACTAAAACTCAACTTCTAGTAATGAATCCACTGCATAAAGTAAACATGAAAACATACAAAAGTGGGTTTTTTTTAAGAAATATTTTAATGTCGTCCAGAAAACTGCAATTAGTACAGATTATTCAAGCCCTTTTGCAGGTTTAGGTTTGGGTTTGGATTCCTCAGCCAGGTGTATCTTGTCTGTTCACTCAAGTTCTCAAGAGAAAATGACAAGGTACTTAGGCTCCTTTTTTCCAACTGAACAGAACTTCTGCCTGATTCTGCCTCCTTTTTGTATAGATGAAATGGACTAACCCATCAAAAGGAAAATATAAAGTTTCCATTGATTATTTACTTTGTCCAGTCCTAATCTTCCAGTTTTTTTTCTTCCTAACCTGGTGCTACTGCAGAAGGCCTTTTACCTAATAAAATAGGGATGTAGATGTCAGTTCATTGACATCACCATAATTAATTTCAATGAATATTTGGGTTAAAAAGCATGTCACAAAGAATAAGTTACATTCTTTAAATATTTTTTCTTAAGTAAAAATATGTAAATGTTCACAACTTTCAAATTGAGATGAGACACCTAGTACTTTCTTTGAGTATGATTCCATTGCCTGGAGTTCCACATTATTCCTCTTTCATAACCTCATCCACAAAGCATCATCAATTTCACAAGTTTGAATTTCTTTTTAAAGTAATAACTTCATGATACTCAAAAAGCTATTCGAGTGCAAAATCCTCCGGGATATTTACAATTTCTTCCCCGACTTTGACCAAGTTGTATCTCATCGATAATGTGTTTTAAGATTTGCCTTTATCTAGGCTTTTCAAATAATTCAACTTATACCTGAGCCAAATTTCTTTATTTTTGGCTTTATGTTATATTTAAGTCACCTAATTTTTAAAAAGTGCAATGGAAAGAAATAGGATTTTGAGCAAATACAAATGATCTTCGGTAAAAATATAATCCAGCAAGTTTGATCAGACATGTAAGGTATAAGATAGGCATCAGTCAGCCCAAAGTACAGGGGAAAGACAGGCCATTTATTAAACTAAACAGGTGTCTGGGTGCAGATTGTTTAACAAAATTTCTAATGACATTGTACTAATAGCCAACAGTAAGTGTCAACCCCTGTTCTAAGAGTCTTAAATGTAATAACACCTCGCGACAACACC